TGATGATGATGATGATGTAAAATCCATTTCTTTCGAAGAATTGCCAAAGTTTCTGCAAATTTTTTTTTCAGTTTCTTGAAAAGAGAAGCACCCAACAGTTTTGCTGAGAAAAACATTTTTATGTTATTTTTATCGAATTTTCTTAGCATTTTTTGAAAATTCGGACCAAATTTTTAGTGTATAACACCGCAGCGGATGATAGACTTGAAGGAGAGGAATAAAAGAAAGAAGGAAAGAGAAAAAAAAAAAGAATGAAAGAACGATTGGTATTATCATCGATGTATGATATGAATGATGCGTATCACATTCTCATCATCTTCTCCATTCAGTAATTTCATTCCTTTATTTGTCAATATTTTGTCAATTATTAATTTTGGACAATTTGTAGTTAGCATAAAGCCTAACACTTTTCTAATTGTTATTAAAGACTGAAAATTTTTTGAACTATCCCTTTATGAACTTCATGTCCTTTTCTAATTCAAAATATTTTCCCTCCCTTCTTTCTCTTTCCCACTCTTTTTTTCTCTTTTTTTTGAAAGTATTCCGTAACCGATCCTCAATTTTCATTCTTCCGAAAAAAGAAGGAAAACCAATGAATTGTAATTTTTAAGTACTGCAAAGAGCTCTAAATATAGTTCCACTGATTGCTATCATTAATTTTTTTTTCTTCATATGCTTTTTAATAGCTGAAGAAAATTTTCAATTTCATTTTTTCCTTTTCTTTGCAAATATAAATTTGTGTTTTATAGAATTTTATCAAAATTATTTGCCATAATTTTTAAAAGTTTTTAAAATTTTGTCGATGTTTTTTGATTTAATAAATCTTTTAAGCTGAAGTAGTTTTTAGAAAAGTAAAATTTTTTGCATTGCTAAAATAAAAATAAAGTAATAACAGGAAGATTACATACAATTCAGATGATTTAATTCGTATTATCGTGTTATTTTCTGTCAAATGATCCATAATTAATTATTGACAGCTAATTATTTTTTATCAAGTTATTTCTTTTCTTCGTAGTATATGCATCCACATGAATATCCTTTTCAAAACGATTTTTTTTTTTTGCTTTAAGAATTTTACTTTAAAAAAATCTAAATTTTTGAACCTTGAACTAAGATTTTGAAAAATTTTTAATGTGAATTTTGAACGAACATTGAAGTAAAAAACTTTCAAATCTTGAACTATTCAATATTTTGCACATTTCTGTAGCATTTTCATAAGTAATAGATGAACTAAGTGATTATTATTGTAGCAATCGTAAATTTTTCTGCTTATTCATTTTGAAAATATTTATCAAAATTTAGTTGTCACTTATAGCTTCTTCGAATTTTATAAAATTTTGATTGTATTCGAATTTGATATTGTTAAAATTTTAATTTGTTTCTTTTTTTCGCTATAATTATAATTTTATTTGGTTGATATCGTTCGATTCATCTTATGATACATTTCAGATATTTTGTGAATTGCTATTGTGTGCTATTTGATTTAAGCGCATTTGCGCCATTTACAAAATTTTGAAATTAATATTTCTGAAAGATTTAAAAACTGTCATAAATCATTGCATGTATTTAAAGATCACTACAAAACTAAACAAAAAAGATAAAAAAGAAAAACGATGATCGAGCAATTCTGAATACGGAAAGAGCGGTGGTTTATTTTGTGAATATTTCCTGAATCGATAATTTTTATTAATTTGAAAAGTAAAGTGGGTAGAATCAATTAGAATGGTTATGGTTGATAGTTTGAATTGTCGTGTTCAATATGTGGATGATTCGGATCCATTTACAACAACATCATGCTCACATTTGGAACCAAATCGTCCTATTATGTATAACTTTTTACTTCATCAACCGATCGGTGAACAATTACCGGAAATTATTCGTATACTTCGAGCACCACATAAGGTTTTAAATTCAATACTTTTTTTTTCCCCCTCCTCCGTTCATTTTCTTGTTTACTAAACTATTGATTAATATTCAAATCAGTAAAAATGATAAGTAAAAATTAATAACTGAGTAAATAATACGTAACAATTAATATAACTAATAATTAAATCATTGAACTAAAGAAAAAAAAAAGAAACATTAGCTGAGATAAAGAGAATGAAATAAGTTAAAACGTTATGAAGAGAGGCTGAGGGGAGAAACTTTGTTGAAATATTTAGAAATAATTGTAATTGTTTAATTACTAAATTAGTGGATTACAATTAAGTGTGCAGTTTTGGCATGCATAATTTAGAGAATTTTGTAATAGAATAAGAAAATTTCTTAACTCAAATAGTTTAATATGTATATCAGTTCTTTGATTATTTGCTGCTACAAGATATTTCAAATTCGTGCGCAACTGTCTTTATTAATAATTATTCAGTAATTGGCTAATATTTTAAATTATTTGTGTAATTGGCTAATATTTTAAATTATAATTACAGCCAAACAATGCCGCACTACAAATATACAAGTATGAAGGTAGCGTTGGTGATTATGGTTCATATTTGGATTCTGAGATGACATTGATGGAACAGGAAGATGAACTGGAAATCCTCAAAGCTGATCCGTAAGTTCCCTTAAAATCTTCGCTTTCTCTTCCTTTTAAATTTTAATCATTCAACGATTTATTATATCATTTAGCAAATTTCTAATTGATCAATGATACATCATATAAGGTTTTTTTAGCTTTTAACTTTTGCATTCAATCATATAATAAATTGAATTTATTATGGAATTTAAATTTAATTTCAAACTGAGATTTTAATTATTCCAGTTACATGATAAGAAGAATATTACGAATAAAATTAATAAAAGAAGAAACAGCAACAAATTTGATAAGATTAACGATAACATAAGTTAGCGATGACACAGTTTATGATGAATGAATGAATGAATGAATAAGAGAAAATAGCGATATCCAAAATTAACACTAAATTTTATGAAAGTATTGCTGCCAAATAGTACAAGTGATATCAAATAATGATATTATCAGTGCGTGTATGTGTATGTGTGTATATGTGGAATGATAGTTTGAAGATAATGATGATCAGTTCAGAATGATTCTTCTTCTCCTCATCATATCCTCTTCTTATGTCATCCCATCTGTCTCATTGCTTTTTAACAACTCTCTTCATCATTTCTATCGATTTGTCCTCAATCCGATCTTTCATCGGCAAACAGCGGGGTGCCATTTTGGTAAATCTGATTCCTGAATATAACACTATAGTTATAACAAAAATTTCACATTTCTTCAATCTCTTTCATTCAATTTATACAAACCATTCAACATTACCTTTCATCCTCATTATTAATTTTTTTTTCCTTTATTCATTCTTCATTCAATTACCCAATCTTTTTCTAAATTAATTACTTGCAGTTAAATGATTCATTGGTTCAGTATGATAATTTTGATAACTTGAAATTAGTGTAATAATTTCTATGATAAATGTATAAGTCGTGTGTCGGTTGAATCTATCGTTACAGGTTTTTTTTTTTACAATTGTTTTATTTTATTTAAGCAAATTCATTTATTTTTTTTTCAGTAAAAAATTTTTCATTTGTATTTTTCAGTGATAATTTTAATTTCAATAGCATACTATCAATAAATGATTTCTCGATTAACAGCACTTCGGTAGAAAATTTTTCACTTGCACTAATATACTATCATTAAATGATTTCTCGATTACCAGCATTCTACACTTTTTTACACTTCTATTTATTGCCCAAAAATGAATCTAATTACTAATAATTCAAAATTTCCTAATGATAATTAATTTCAAATGAACCATAGATTAAATTACTTTAATTTTAAATTCATACATTTCATTCTTCAATACCTGTTCATTGATATCATTGTAATCACAAAAACTATCTTTTGAAATATTCTATCACTGCAACGGGACGGTTTCGAAGTTTAGCACCGTTCATTAATTGCTCAATTTGCATATTCAATTCTATCATTGTTTACTTTTTTAAATGAAAATTTTTTCTTGTTTCAAGAACAATAAATCGTTCCCTTTTATCGTCATCCCTTCAAATACTTTTTCCTTTCCTCTTATCTTTCCCGTATCATTTTTTCCGTCAATTAGTATTTATCCATTTATTAATCAAAAATATCACAAAAATTCATTTGTTTTTTCTCTTCCTTCTGCACAATGAAAAGAAGAGATCTTTGCAGTATTCGTATTTTGATAATTATCGTAGTTATCTATTTCATTCATCATCCTTTATTGATATGAAAATTGTGTTAAAAATTTTTAATGTAATCAAGATTTTATACAATTCATAATTTCTTAACTAGGCCAGATTTAATTTTCGATGATCCCATAAATCCCTTCATTATTCGGTTAGTTTTACCAATAAATAATCAACTACATATGTTTTATAATTTCTTTTCTCGATTTAAAATTCTTTGAAATTTCGATAAATGTCATCATAAATGACTGTCGCTATTATCTCTATTATTCATTATTTCATTTTTTTTTTTTACCACCAGAAATTTTTGGTCACCAAAATGTGATAGTAAGAAAATGATATAATTTCCTGTTTTGAGATAAGTATTTTTTCAAACTTTTTGAATGAGGATTTTGCTTATCATCAATGTTTTTTTTTTTCATAATACACATTCATTTCTTAAATCCTCTAATTGATTGATCAATACAAAAGATTGATTTACATCTGAAAGTTTGATTTACATCGTTTCATAATCGTTCTGCAAATATATGCTCAACAATCTATTTAAATTACTTAGCTGAAGATTCACTGATATCATCAGTCTACTAAATGTATTGTCCATCTTCTTGCACAGCTAACATGATAAGAGTATCAAATCTTTGTTTATCATACTGTTGCGCTATCCAAATAGATAAATTCATTGCTGCAAATTCTATATAAAGTCGTTCAATTTGCATGAGTGATAATTTTGAATAAGAATTGAATTGATAACAATTGTCTTTCTGCATTTTATTTGGCATCTTTATTTGACTTATTTTCATATCATCCCACATTAAGCGTTTCATTTTATTTTTTTATTTTTTTTTTTTTAAAATAGAATCCATTCAAATGCTTTGAAAAGAAATTTTGATGAGCTTCATTGAGAAGTAATTAGATAATGAGAGATGAAAGAACAATTATTTTGTAGAGAAATTACTATAAATTATATTCTCGTGATTATTATCACTTATGTCAATTTTCTTCTTGCGTTTTTTTCTCACGTTTCGACATTTCATTTGTGATATTTGATATGTTCGTATTTATCAAGAAGCTAATGGTGAAGTCGACATATCAGCAAATTCAAATGGTACTGATCTGTTTATTCAAATAACTGCAACGATAATAAATATCAACAATGATAAGCAAATTGAATCATTACGCTTCACTGTTGCCTTAAATTATTCTTCAACAAAAATCAACAACTAAAACTGAAAAAATGTCAGAAATTATAGACCGAAAAAAGCAAAGTAGTCCAGAACCTCATGCTAATAGTAGTACACATCGTTCTGCAATCCGTTCACAAACTTTAAGAAGTCGTCCCATTTTGCGAAGCTCCGAAATTCAAAATTCTGCAATTGTTGAAGCTGAAGCATATCGTCCTTGTGGTGCTGTTACCTCCGATAATTCTTCTACAAATATTCGATTACCTTTAGCTGTAAAACCTTTTCGTCAATATCAATTGAAATCGGAAAATTCGTATACTTCTGAAGAATTCAAATGTAACAATGCTAATACTGGAACTTCATCATCATTACCACGAATGTCAAAAACCGTACTACCATCATCCAGAACTCTATGCAAAACTTTCTCAGGTGATTTCAATCAAAATTCACAAAATATCTCTTCGAATGATATTATTAAGTCAAAATGTAAATCTGAAATTTCGATGAAGAAATTTTTGCATGGAATTAATTTGAATTCACCTACCAATACGACAAAATGTATAGCACGACCTATTCATTATGATAATGAGCTGAATTGCCGCTCTTGCGATATCATATCACCATTGCAAAAAACTATTGCAATTCATCGAACTACAGAATTAGCGAAAAACTTCTTGCCTTCAGCAAACATATCAAATGTACCATTAGCATCAAATAATTCGAGAAATTCAATGGTTGATATCAAATGGGAGGTACCGAAATGTAATATTAAGAAAGAATCGAAGTATTCTGCTACCAAAAATCCAACAAAATCAGCACTGAAAGTAATTAGGCCAAGACGTTTAACGGTAGCATGCTCTACGATGAATGATAATGATTGGCCTATTACCGCTAAAAATATAACACCTGAAAAGAATGGAATCAATCGAAAAAATATCATTGATAGTGATTCATTGAAGCATAAAACCACAAGAGAATCATCGAAAAAACCATGGTTTAGCTCATCGGTAGATGGACCACCGATTGCATCACAAATTCGTGAAACTGCAATCGATGATGATTTACCGTGCAAACGATTGATTTCTTCTTCACGTTTTTACGCAACTAATGGATCGTTATCAGTTCCAGTTCAGAAACCTACCGTTGTAAAATCTGCCAATTCACAAATCTTTCGAATGGCCACAACTCCACCACCAAAACCAACCAGAACATATGAGGAATTACTTGTTGATTTCCTGCAAGAGGAAAAATCTGAACGTTGTTCAAAATCAAATATTAAATCTGTATGGAAAATTTGTCCAACTATGGGTAGTGGTAGCTCGAGAATGGTTAGCCCGAAGGATTGTCATAATAGCCGTGATCATAGCAGTGATTCCGGATTTGGAGCTGATTTTCGAAAAAGTTCAAGCGATACGCTAGAAAGTAGTCCGGATGTTCAAACATCAGGCAAATGGCTTCAGGCCCTTGATTTACCGTGTGATTCATACTGTCTTAGTGATGAGGATTTGATGTTATCAGAGAATTCTCGTATAAGGTTTTTATTTTAGAAAATTTAAAATTTTTTTTATATTTCAAGTTGGAAACCTGCTGTCTTCTTAATGCACATCACTTTTTTAATTGATTTATTAAATAACCTTTCTGATTCTATCCGGCGGTTGAATAAAAAAAAAAAAAAGGACTTTCAACTTGAATGAAGCGACTTAAATGTGAATTAAAATTTAATCTTCCAAGTATATTATTTTATATAATATAGCAATTTCATATGTATAAAATAAAATTAGCAGTTGAATTGATTGATTAGAAAATGAATTTGAATAGGTAAGGTTAAGATATTGTGTTAAATTTTGATAGCCTGCAATTTTCCATTATATTTATTTCAAATAAATGAAAAGAGTAAATGAAAAAAAAAGATATTTTAAATGAAAGAGAAAATCTTTTTTTAATTAGCATTAAACGGATACGAATCATATCCGTTTAAAGATTCATTTTTGATTTTATATTTTTTTATTTAAATGAAAAATTTTAGTTTTGCAAAGAGCAAAATTATTTAAAATCCATTTGAATAATTTACATATTCGATCATTTTTGTTTTATTTTTCCCTTTCCTTTTTTCTTCAGTTTTCACGATTTTTCACGCTTTTTTTCTTGTAGAAGGCGGAACAGTTTGGTGATACGAACTCAAACGGGTCTTCGAGTTAAAACAATAATTGGTGAGAATTTTGAAAATTAATTTCTCTCTCAACATTAATCAGTCATAAAATTTTTTCGAAGATTTCTAAGAAGTTTTTCAAATTTTAAATTATACACTAATAGTTTACAGATAAATTGCTTAATTCGAATGGGCATGATCAACGAAGAGCTCTTTTCTCATTGAAGCAAATTTTTCAAGTAATCTGTCATTTCTTTTAATTTTTTAAAATAACTAAAGTTTGCAAATTTTTTTTTTTTTTTTGAAAAAAGAATTCATCAAGAAATGCTTTAATGTTTCATGAACAGTTTAACAACTATTTCTAGGATGATAAAGATTTGGTACATGAATTCGTACAGAACGGTGGCTTAGAATGTATGATTAAGCTTGGAAGACAAGCTGATCAAAATCATCAAAATTACATCCTTAGAGGTAAATTAATTGCACTAAACAATTAACTAATTAGCATCAACCATTTTATTTGATTGCTAAACTAACTCATACTCAATAACTGCTCATTAAACTAATGTTTCCTTTTATTTTAAGAAATAAACGGATGCACCAATAGATGATAATAAATTCATCGCAAATGATAATCATGATAAAATCACTATAATACATAATTGTGATTTTCTTATTCAAATATTTTGGATTTGAATAAACTGTTAGACTTGTAACGTTTAAATTCAAATTACACTGCGTGTCATTGTAGCATTAGGCCAAGTGATGTTATATGTGGACGGTATGAACGGTATCATTGCTCATATTGAAACGATCCAATGGCTTTACGAATTGCTTGATTCACCGGTAAATTTTCTCTATTATAATTAAGATAGGCTTCTTTTTTGGTTTGAATCTGAAAAAATTTTATCTACAAAATAATTAATAATTTGATTGTAAATTTCATCAAATATCAAATTTTAATCTAGCAAATAATTAGCAGCTAGCTGCCGCATTTTCGAAGCTAAAAAAAAATATCACAAAATTCAATTTTTCTTTTCACAATTTTGGGAGGGCAAAAAATGAGGAGATTAAAGTTTTTAAAGTCCTTGAAAGAGAAATATTTCTCTAATTTCTCAAGTTAACCATTTTTTCTGCGAACTAATATTATTTTAAATATTTAATGCTTCCGAAAAAGAAAATTGATTTTTTTAAATTTAAAGTAATTTAGTGAAAATTTGTTCTTCAAATATTTTAGCCGTAATTTGCCTTTTAAATGTGCAATTTTTTTCAGTACACTCATTAATTGTTAAATTTTAATCATAAAATCTATGAATAGAATTTTTAACATTATTGAGAACCAAAAAAATGTCAAAAATTTTTCAAATATCCTGAAATTTTGAAAATTAGCAAACATATGCTAATTTATATAATTTTAAAATTTAATGATGAAAATTTGATCAATTTTCGAAGAGAAACTAAAAATATCATCCGTTTATTGTTGTGTTTTGTGTTACTCATTAATTAGTCGAAATTTATAGTTCCAATTATTCGTGTCTTCATTTGCCATAATTTGCATAAAATTTTCAAAAATATAGAAATTTTGTGAATTCTTTCTGAAAATGAATATGCCAAATTTATTGTGTCCCATTCATTTTATTTTCATTCATTTATTTTCCTCATTTTTATTTTAAATTATTTTTTATTTTAAACTATCTATCGAAAAGAGGGGAAAAAAAAGGAGGAAAGAAATGTTTGCAGAATATTAACCCATCGTTATGCTCTGAAATGAATTTATTTCGGGCTGATTGGGTAAGATTGGGTAAGATCTTCTGGTAAGATCTTCTGATTGGGTAAGGTGGTGAATTTTCTTGCATGTTTGCTTATTTGTATTGCTGTCGTGCTATTATTGCATATTTTGTTTATCAATTATGCTAAATTTAAAAAAAAATTTAAAGTTCAATTGTTTGCTATTTTAGTATTTCGTCCATCGTGCTATTTTTTTCTTCAATTTATTATTTTTCTAAGCAAAAATTCTTACAGTGTGCTTTATAAAAAAAAAAAGCTATAATTTATGTTTGAGTTAAATTTTTTTTATATAGAATTATCTTTGGCTTCTTTTTTTTCCAGTTCAATGAAGATTAGAATAGTAATTAAATTTTACAGAGTTAATTATGGATGATATTATATGCTAAAATTATAAAAAATTTAAGGCTCAATTTTTCTTTTTTTTGGAATGGATAAAGCGGTTATTTTTGTGATAAAACAAATTATCATTGTTCAATAATATTTTCCACATATTTCAGTTGCTAATTTCGGCTTTTCAAAAGCAATAATAAATACTGATAATAAAATTTTCCCAAGCCTTTAAATTTATTCTAATGCAATGAGGGAACAGATGGTAAAACATGTATTATGTAATTAACATGGCTAACATTTCTTCCTCATCGATTTTAGTCTTCCAAAAAATGAAAATTAGATCTCTTTCTTGTCGATTGTAATTTTGCAAAAATAAAAATTAAATCTTTTTTTCTTGATCAATTTCAATTCTTTAAAAATGAAAATTGGTTCTCATCATAATGGTCAAGTTTAATTATTCAAAAAATGAGAATTTATCATAAATTAAAATTGGACAATGTTGAAAAAGTAGAACTTTTATTTGATGTACATTAATGTAATGTAAATTCTCGCTTGTCAAAAAATGAATCACTTCATTTCATTGCATTAATTTGTGATAATTTAAATTAATTTTAGTATCGATTAGTGGTGAAGACAGCATTGAAGTTATTATTGGTATTTATTGAATATACGGATCACAATGCACTTCTACTAATGACCGCTGTCACTAATATCGATAAAGCTAATAGTATTCTTTTCTTTTTTTTTAATTTATAGTATATTTATGTAAATGAATAAAAATTTTATAATGGCATACTGTAATTTTTTTTTTTTTTGACTTTTGCCAAAATTCGATTTTTTGAAATGAATTCATTGAGTGATTTTTTTTTTTCGAAATTAACATTTTTATTTTGGAACAGATCGACCGGATTGGTTCGCTTTGATGAGGGTACTTAATGAAAAGGATGCAAGTGATGTTGAAATGCTCACGTACGGTATGACTGTTATCAATAAAACATTGAATGGTGTCTCTGATCAGGTAATTAATTTCATCGAGAACAAATTATTCCAGAATGTACTGTTTATTAAATTGCAGCAAAATTAAACGGTACATAAGTTAAATATATGCAGATGGAAATTAAATTAGTACAGGTGAAATATGAAGCATAAATTTAAACAAATATTGTCTTTTTGTTTTGCAATTTTCTGAAGAAAAAAATAAAGAAAAGAAAAGCGTTTTGTTGAATTTTTTAAAAATGAATGAAGAGTTAAAAAGGATAAATTAATTTGGATGATTTCAGGATACGTATTATGATCTCGTCGATTCTCTTGAATCGCAAGGCTTAGAAGATGCAATGCGACATATGCTAAAACTCGGTCATAAAGATCTCAAAGATCAATGTAAATTATACGAAAAAGTGCTTAAGCAAGAAGATGAAGCAGAAAGCAGTGATGAAAGTATTGTTAAAATGAGGTATTAATTAGCTTTCTTTTTTTTATAACGAAAAATGGCATATATTAACGACTACATAATTGATTGCTATAGGTTAGAGGTCAATTATCAATAATTTTTTTTTCGAATTTATTTATAGTTTCAGTTTTTATGTGTAGATGTAATAAGATTTATTTCCACGAAAACTTAAACTTTTTTTTTTTTACGGGAGCAGAATTTATTTTTGCATTCAATTCATCCTGGAATAATTTGAAATTTAATTGTAATTAAAATTAGGAAAATCTCATTTCTCCTATGAGATTATGCAGTCTTCAGTTCATTTGTTCACGTTCTGATCTTTCGAGGTATAAACTAGAATCACTTGTCTAATTGCTTACATTATACTTGTAAATTATGCTCATTTAATTATCGAACATTATACTTATTTAATTAAACATTTATGTAATTAAACACGTATTTAATTAAATACTTATTTAATTAACTACTTATTATACTTATTTAATTATCTAACAGGAATTGTTTGTAGGATGCAAACAGTACCACCGGTCGCTGTTGATCGTAGAACGGCGATACGTCGCCGACATCAGGAATCATTGGCTCGGCAACAAGAACATTATAATTTTCATAAAATCAATTCTATAAATAATAATATTGAAAAATTTGAATTGTAAGTTTCAGGATTAAACTTTATCTCACGTAAAGAAACTTTTACTAAATTTCAAAAGATCAAACTTTGCAGTATTTACAGTACCAGTTTCTAGTAGATAAATTAGCAAAATTAATTTTCTGAAAATTAAAAATCGGACTTTCGTTAAAATTCATATAAAAATAATCCAATTTTACTTTATTGTTCAATTTTTCCTCTATGCTTACATCCAAATGGTTTTTACTAATTCATTCCGATAAATTTTCATTACTTAACTAATTTATTTGGTCCAAGCAATTTGCTACTTGTTTGTGCCAAATGATTTAATCTATTATTGATTTTTTCCCATTTACAGACCTATGAAAAATGCTGGCAATAAAATTATCAATGATACCAATGGTATCCCAAATGATACGATTAATGATACCCCAAAAGTCATACCACCTTGGAGAAGGAAAGTTTCTGAAGTGAAAACGGAACCGAAAAATAATAATACAGTCAGTTACTGGTAAAGTTTCATCAAGAAAGGGACAAAATTAACTGAGAAATTTTGCATACTAAAAATTTGATTCATTTATTGCCACATTGTAAACTTCCTATTCGTGTACAATTTAATAACTTTTCCTTTTAGAATATTTCGATAAATACGATGAACGCACAATCACCAATAAAACAATCTTCTATCTCACCAATAAATTCAGTTGAAAAAAAATTGGAGAATAATGAAAATGTGGAAGTTGAAGAGAAACCGGTTTGACCTTTTTTTTTTTCTCCTTTTATTCTTGCTCTCTTTTTTTTTTTCGAAGATGGAAGATTTTGTTGATAATTAAATTTTGCAATTTTATTAATTACACGATAAATTATTATTGATGTACGAATGTACATGATTAATTTCGTTCATAACTTTAAAATTTTTTAAAATAAAATATAAATGACAGTCCAAAGAATATTTTAAATTCACGAATTATATTGGGAAAAGTATACGTAAAAATTAAACGCATAAACGTGAACCGTTTGATAAGAGTAAATTAGAAATTTGAAATGCTAAGGATGAGCAAATAATACGTAGATGAAATTGATATTTACATAGATATAGCAATTAATTGCTGTTAAACGATGGCTAATTTTTAGGTACGTGCACCTCCGCCATCATTTCCTTCTACGCTTTTCTCTCCAACTGAAAATAAAACAATAGAATTTCCGGAACCGATTAGGAAGGCACCGGAACCAGTACCAGAACCAAAAAGGATATCACCATCTAAAACAAAGGCATATGCAATTTTAAAATTTTATTCGAATTTTTTGGAAGAATTTCCCAAATGATTTCGCATAAAATATACCGATTTTAATTTTAAAAAAAAAGCCGATTTATTTTATGATAATTTTGTTCTCGCTTTGTAAAATCCTAGATTGAACTTGATAATCGTTTTTTTTTTCTCTGTTTCAAACTTCATTCTCAATTAATTAATTGTAGGTTATCGAAGATGAAGATGATAGTGCAGCTGGTGGTAATGCATTTGCTGCACAGTTACGTCGTCATGCGCTTAAACGCGAACAAAATGCAGCATTATTTGAATCAAAACAGGATGAAGCAGAAATACAATGGAAAAAGGTTTAAAATTATTTTAGCTAACAAATTTTTCAATTTTTAAAAAATTAGATGGATAATGCTAAAATTCTAAAAAATACTAACAGCGGAAATTAATTTTACCGCTAGCTCATCCTGTTTTGTAATTAAAATTTCAGGCTGCTGAAAGTTTTAAATCGAAACCGTTAATTATTAATGATTTGGATTTTTCGGAATTTCATAAGGATGAATTTGAACAAGATCCATTAGTAATGGCTCGATTAGCAACCATTGCTCAAGAAAAGGGTTTACTTCCAGGTGTTAGCGGTAATGGTATTGCATCAGGTAATATTTATTCTATTTTGAAATTTAACTTTTAATTAATTGAAGGAATTAAAAATTTCTCATGTTTCACAATTTAGATTTATAGAAAATTTGAGGCCTCAAGTATCATTTCTATCTCATTCTTGTTAAGCTGTCCTTCAAATCAATCTTACGGGGGATGACTGAAATATTTAACTAATTAAGCTTTTTTTTTACGGTAAGAATTTAATTTATACATGTTTGCTTTTATTGATGTATTTCAAGAAATGATATCGTGTTTTGAATGTGATTAATTTAATAAATTTCCTCGATTTTTAAAATTATAAGAATTTTTTAATTTTATTATGTTGAACTCGATTAAATTTTTAGCATCTGAAAGAGGTCCACCACCAGCACCTCCATTATTGCCTGGTGCACCGGGTGCACCTCCACCGCCACCTTTTCTGGCTCCAAATTGTGGCCCGAATCAAGCAGGTCGTGATCCAAGTCCAGGTGAACATTTTCAAAACTAATGTAGAAAGTTAAAAATTTAAAAAAAAATGGAATCGATTTTGATCTATTAATGTTAATACATGAAATAATATTAAAATTGTTCATTTAGTATCACCGATATCGAAAACTGGAACATTAAAGTTACATTGGAAACCTGCTCAAGCCGAATTGCCACCCGTTCCATCGTTGAGGAATAAGGGAACATTTTGGCATAAACTTGATTTACCACAAATTGATGCCAAAAAGTTGGTTCAATTATTTGAGCAAAAAACTAAAGAAATTCCTGCTGTCAAGGTAAAATTTATTTAAAATTCAAAATTTATGATTATTTTATCTCTAAATAATCAAATGTCTCCAATAACAATTATGCGATAAATGGTGATAATGGAAATGACGGGACAAATGCATTTTTGAATATTGATTATAATTTTAAATTTCATTCACTTTTTTAAACAGATATGCTTGCAGAATTGATGATCAAACCATTAATTTATGTAAAAAATTTAGCATTTTTATCTTAGTTGTAACCCTCAATAATTTTCCGTTCTTCCTTTGTTTGTTTATAATGGGATTTCCTCGATTTTCTCAAGTAATCAGCATTATTTAAATTTTTAATTGTTCCAAAAAATTTTAATATATCTTTGACCTTTCATAGATGCGGTTGCATATTCCGAACGAATAATGAATGTATTTGTGCAATTGAATATTTCAAGAATTACCAACCAACAAATTCTTACAAAAACTTTTATTGCTTTAAAAAAAATTTTTTTTTTTTTACAAATGTTGGCATATTTCTCGCTTATCCTACTATTATTTGCGCTTTTTCGAATTACAAGAATTATTATTGATTTGTATGAGAAGAAATGATTGAAAATAATGTTTTTTTTTTTATTTTTTTTTGTATTCTTTCAGCGACTCAATGGTGAACATCGGACGCAAATTCTTCAAGTGCTACCGTTAAAGCGATCACAAGCTATCAATATCGGATTAACAAAGCTACCGCCAATAAGCGTTATTCCAACTGCTATAATGGTAGTCATATTAAGCTTCTATCAATTCTATCACTTTCTCATCCATCTCTTCAATTTTTTTTTTCTTGTAGAAATTCGATTCATTGGTATTGAATAAAGAGGGTATTGAAAAAATTCTCACTACAATGATGCCAAATCCAGCGGAAATTGAGCAAATCGAATTGAAAATGGCGGAACATCCGGATATGCCGTTAGGTCAAGCGGAACAGTTTCTTCTCAAGCTTTCGCAAATACCATGCTTGCTAGAAAGACTTAGGCTTTGGGTATTCACGTTGGACTACAAAAATTGTGAAAAGGTGCGTAGTTTGGTTCTTTTTTTCTTTCAAAATTTTCGAAAATTTTAGAATTCTGTAGTTTGGAATTTCTTTTTTTTCTTCTGCTTGAAATAAGAAGGAAAAATTAATATGGGGAGTTAATTAATTATTTGTGAATAATATTGAATGCTTTTTTTTTAAGAAAATGAAATTACATTTGTTTGC